CCCAGGAAGACGCTCCATACCTGCAAGTCAGCCCTAAGTTTGTCCGACACCCGAATAAAATGGTGAGCTTCCCTGATACCAACCGTCGCCAATGACAAGCGCCGGCAAAAGGCCCGACCCATGGGCAAGACTCTGCAAGCAAAGGCTAGGTGACCCAGCAGCACTTGCATTGTGCGCAACTGTACCTTCCGAGCCAATTTTACCAAGTCAATCTGCTTGAGCAGGACCATTAGCTTTTTCGTCCGGTAAGCGAAAAACCATGTCCACGGTGTCAACCTCGATGCCCAAAAACGACAGCCTAGTGGCTGGCCCCTCCGTCTTCTGCTCCGCCACTGGTACGCCAAACCACGCGGACACTGCGCGGAAGGCCGACAACAACCGAGAACATCCGTCACCCTCCCGAGGACTCACAAACAAGAGTGCGTCACCGAATCCAAACCCGAATACTGAACCACAGACCATTCCAAAAATGAGGAAAACATTTCAAAATAAGAACACGATATCGAACAACCCATGGGAAGGCACATGTCGTAGAAAAACGACCCCTGGAATTGACAACCTAGCAGGTGATAACATTCTGAGTGAACCGGCAATAACCGAAAGGCCGATTCGATGTCTGATTTAGCCAGGAGTGCCCCCAACCCGCTTCCCTAACCAATGACAGGGCCCTGTCAAACGAAGCATAACGCACCCTGCTGAATTCCTTATCGATATCATCGTTCACCGACCTCCCAGCCGGGTTGGATAGGTGATGAATCAACCGAAAGGAGCCAGGCTCCTTTTTAGGTACCAGCCCCAAGGGCGATACCCGAAAGTTGGGAAATAGGGGGTACCCGCAAGTTGGGAAATGGGCCGCCATGCGCCCCAATGACAATTCTTTTCCCAACTTGGCACCCAAAACTTCCTCCTTACCCTTGACCGACCGAAGATTATCTGCCAACCGTGGCTCCGCCGAGAAGACAAAGGGGATCCAGAATCCGACTGAAAACCCTTCCTCCAACACCGCGGCATCGCTCACTGGTGTCCTCCCCTTTGGAACCATCCTCTCGTGACCCTGCCTTGGGAATGGACTGCTTCGCCTTCTTGAAGCATTGCATGGCGGGACGCCGGACGACTAGGCGTCATGAGTAACAGCCACAGGCTGCCATCCTGCGTGCCGAAGTCCAATCCAGGACATGCCGCCATCTTCTGCTGGAACTGCTGGTCGTAACGGAACCAGCTCTGCCCGCCATACACCTTATACGCACCCCAAATCAGATCCAAGTATCCGAACAGCGGCGGCGCCCTATCCGGGAACCGACGGGTCAGAATACTTGCGAAAACCGCTAAACCCTGTAACCAATTCCCAAACGTTCGTGGGATTTGCTTACCCTTCTCAGGGTCCTGTGGCTCGCCACGACGTGGTCGATCCACAGAATCCCTGTCTGGGGAAACCAGTGACAAAAAATCCACAAATTCCCCTTTAATAATCTTATCCCGTGTCTCCCCTGGGACATGCATGCCCAAGGGGGATAGTTCACAACCTGGTAGAGAGGGACGGAACCCCCCGCCCCCGCCTGAGCCCTATCGGCTGGAGCCTCCTCCAGCACCCTGCGCACGTCCCCTGATTGGCTATGCGCAGCTGGCAACCTATCTACCACTGCCCTGAGCAAGCGCAACAATTCCCTATCCGCAGCCTGCTCCTGCCCTAGCGCACCCTGTCTCCCAGCTAGGCTACCCCAAGCGCTAGCGCAAGCCAACTCACCGCTTAGTGGACCTGCCACGGTAGCCTGCTCAGGTTGGCGAGGTCTGGGAGCCGTCCTCTGGTCCAACTCTTCCTCCTCTGATCCAGATTCCGAGTCCTCCTGCAGCCTCCTCTGGGTGCTGTCCCATGTTGGACTCCTGTCCGGCAGCTCCCGAGTTCTGGGCTCTCCTTGCTGCAGGGCATCCGCCCCCAGCCTTCTCCTGGGCTGTACAACCCTCCGTTCCCGATCTTGGGCGCCCCCACGGCTCCCCTGGGGGCTCCGGCGCCGCATTTCCGTGCACTTCCGGGTTCTCCGGTGGGGCCTGTGACGTCCGCACTGTGCGCCGTGCGTCCGTCACGTACGCGCCCCTTGTGACGTCCGGCGTCTCCACGCACCGCCCGGACGTCAGACGTCGATGCGTCACTTCCTGCCGGACCGGAAGAGAAGGAGGACTGCGCGAGCGCTCTTCCCGCGCTCCGCCATCTTGGGCCCGCCTCACCGCAGCTCTCACCACCCGCGGCTGCCTCCTGGAAGCCCGGGATCCGCCATCACCGCCTCCATGCTCCGGCGCCGGCTGCAGCCCGCTGGTCCCGGCCTCCGATCCCCCTCCTCTACGCACCGGACTGGGGGAAAGGCGGGAAGGAGGCCTAGAACGCCTCGGCCTTCTCCCGCGGGCCAGAGAAGGGGTCTCCGCCACCGGCTGCTCCACTTCCATCCGGGCCTGGGGAAGGTCGGCCATCAGCTCTGCCAGAGAACCGGATCCATTGGAAGCCAGGTAGGCCTGCAGCACCCCCAGCAAAGCCTCCCTTGACAAATCAGCCATCTTGCAGGGAAGGCCTAGCTTGCAGTTAACACTGGAGTAAAGTAACTAAATGCTTTTTTTTTTTTTTTTTTTACAGCAGAAGGCTAGAAGCTAAAGGGCTCTGAAACTTTGAAAACTGTTCCAGACTGCTCCTTCTGCACTGGTGAGTCCCACCCCCCTGCTCTCCCTCTTATATCCCACTATATAGGCAACATTGTATCTTTTATATTCCCACCCCTTACTGCAGGGCAGCAGTCATGCCTCCCCTTCCTTGAAGTCCAGGGGATATCTGTATGTGTAGGTTGTATAACTGTGTGCCTGTATGACTGTGTTTGTTTGATTGTGGGCCTGCATATCATATATATGTTTGACTGTGTGTTTGTATGGTTGTGTGTTGCTATATATCTATATCTGTAAAGCATGGGAGGAAAAAGACATACAAAGGGCCATGGGGGGAGGGACACACAAAACAGGCAACAGAATAGGGCTGGGGGAAAGAAAGAGGCACAGAAATGTAATGAGGGAAGAAAGAGACACTCAAAGGCTGGTGAAAATAAGTTGTAGTGGGGATGATATGGGACACAAGGGGGCTGTAAGAGACACACAGGTGAAGACGCATTAAAAACAAATTAACGGGGGATTAAATACACTTAAAAGGGTAAGAAATTCAAAATGGGGGTTACGAGGGGGCACACAGGTAAAGATGCATTTTTTTTTTAAGGGGGAGGGTGGCAAAATGCATCTTTGCCTGTGTAGCCAAAAATCCTTGCACTCACCCTGCTGCTCAGCCTCACCTCTCTCCATGTAGTGTGGCCGAGCAGGAAGACCGCGGTAGAGAAGCTTCTGTTTCCACTACCCACTGAGCATTTCCTGTTAGACTGGGTAGGGGAAAAAGAAGCTCCCCTACCGCGGTCCATCTGCTCTTTCACCCTACATGCAGTGGTACAGACTATGTAGCCGACACATTAATATATCGCCCCAGACAGTTTGAAAACTGTAATGTAGAATATTCTTGATGTCACAGTAAAAGCCACCAGAATTGTCTTCAAGGCAATCTGTTTCAAATGTAGGCTAAAAATCTAAAAATGATTCAAACAGGATTATATTTACCTGAAATCATCATTAGCCCTTTAAATTGTCAAAATGTCTAATCATCTGTATCAGGTATCATGTTGTGTCACAACAACCTCATGTTAAGGTATCTCAGAGGAAGCATATGCTGCTAAAATGTAACAACTGCTAAGTCCTTCTGTTCATTCTGAAAGACGACCTCCACTCACTAGGACCATCTGGACGGGATGTCTTTACCCAACAGCAAATCATTTCAAACACTGGTGAAATGTATTGTAAATATGTCAGAGATGCCTCTATAACGGCCTATTGAATTATTTCAGCCAATATTACCAGTTCCACCATAAACCACATACACGTCTTAAAGTGGATCTATCTATCTATTGTTAGTATTACAGATATAGTGATTTAAAGGAAAGATTTGGTCATTTTTTATTTTAAGTAAACTGCTTACGTCACAAAATAACAATAATACAGTTAACATTAGGTTGCCTGCGGTGTCGTGGATAAGGTCGGCTGATGGCGGGCATTGGAAAGATATGATTTTAATGACGAGGGGGGAGGTGAGAGGAAGTGGTGATTAGGAACCACTGTATGTTTATTGGCAAGGACGGTTGGGTCACTGTATAACACTATGTGTGGAGTTAGATATGTATATATGTTAATTTATGCCTATTTATGTCTAACGGTTTTGGTTACAGAAAAAGAAGAGATTTAATAAATCAAGTTATGGATGTGTTATGCAGTAATTTAGTTTATGATAATAAATGCTGTGGCCTGTTTCATCCATACTAAGTGGTCTGTCGTTATTGGGGGGTTGAATGGGGTTAGTTTATGTTCTAGGCTACATCGCGATTCCCCACTACGTACATACATGTACATGAAATAAATGGAAGACAGGGTAGCACCAGGCCACACAACACACACTCAATAAATGCTGTGGCCTGTTTCATCCATACCAAGTGGTCTGTCGTTATTGGGGCCCCACTGCAGGCCTTCAGTACTGGAGCCTACAGGCTAATTTGAAGGTTCTCTGTTGGTAACTGCTCAATTTTGTAATTTAAAAACTATGTATGGATTGTTTCGCATAGTTTAAAAAATCTATTGTATACATTGTTATTTGCTAAATGTAAAATATATTCACTGCTAATATGTAAAGATCAAATGTATGTATATCAGATAATACTAAAAGCAGTGAAAACTATTTTACAGGGAAACGGAAAAATGCTCACAAACAGATTTGTATTTATTGTGCCAAATAACATTGTTACAGGAATTTCACATCCAATGTCCAGTGGATAATTTAATTCAGTTTTGTACAGAAGGTACTTTGGGTGTCACATCATAGTAAACACAATTACGAGGCGTTGATGGTGGACCTCAAAAACTAGGCTGGAGGATTTGGGTGCTTGACACGTAAACTTACAAGTAAAAAAAAAAACAGGGACATTCGACCGTTTGTTTAGGAAACATGCATTTTCTTCTATGTGAAAAACGAAAGGTACTTTTATCAGTTCATGTTTATTTTTAATTTTTTTGCCAAGGGATGTTATATATCTTTAATTTAATAATGAATTTGTTACAAGTGTTTCCTGGCAAACACACGGCATTAATCACATGAACTATTAAAATCTATTTTGCAATTTTCTGACATTTCTTTTTCTTTACATTTTTTATTTTGGAAGTGCAGTGAGACATGCACGAATTAGCAATGACATATGGTGCGAAACAATACAAGTGAAAACAGGCTTACAATCAGAGCATAATAATCGTTGTCATGTTAGGCAAACATGTCTAGGTAGAAATTAAAAACAGTGAAATAAAACAAGCTAAGCGACTCACAGGCCGTCATAGGGCCTGTGGCCAAGCGTCGGTCCCTGGAACTTCGGGACGGCTGGGCAGGTGAGTTTGCTGGGGAAGCTTGTATTGTAGGAGGCACCTGTGCTGCAGACTCTGCTAGAACTGCTCATAGAGATTGTCCAATCTAAGCAGCACACCAGATCCCCCTTCCAGCGTCCAACTGCATTTGGCCTCTGCCATTTTGAGTGCACGATTAGTGGTAGCCGCATGAGTCACGGCTGCAGCGCAAGTCTTCCGTGGAGGCAAGGAGACCTCAGGGTGGGGAGCAGGATCAATAGTAATGTGGTATAAAGAAGAAAGACAAAACAGACCACTTGTTAGAAAGTTTAATACATTTGTTGCACCACCAAAACGTAATACAAAATTAATGAAACAGAGCAAAAAAAATGAAACAGTCCAAAAAATTCACTAGAATTAATCAATTGTGCCAAAAAAATAATGTTTGCAATATTTTGAAAAAAATTCCTCCATTGAGTCCTTTAAAATCTAGTTTCTATGCCCTCCCATATTTGTATGTAAAAAGTGCAAAGTATTTTTTATTTATTTATTCATTGCTATTTCTCTCTTTTTGCAAAATATATTTACAAAAAATATTTTTACTCTGTCCAAAGAGGAATAAAGGCGCTTTAGGTTGCACAACAATAAAAAGAAACATAACCTGTTGCATAATTTATAAAACCTGGAGACTTTTCACTCACCTATTCCCAGGAATCGTAATTAAAACACATAAAAATAAATTTAGATAATATTTACATTTGTATAATCAGTTTGCTGCAATATATACAAAAAAAATTGTTTCTGCATTTTATTTATCAGATTTAAAAGTACACCATAACCACTACAGCCCACTAACTTTTAAAGAATGGTTTGACAGCTTACCTGAGGTCCAGCGAGAGCTAGTCATCTCCTGGGTCTCCAGAACATGCAGCACTGAGCCTAGCTCAGCGGTGCGTAACTTAACTCAGCTAACGCTCTTTGCCAATAAGCTGGCCCTACACGGCACCTGGTAGACCACAAGTCATTTGTCAAACTGCTCTTGATTGGTTTGACTACTTAACCTGTGAGAGAACCAGGGCACTTCAGCCACCAAAACCACTGAAATGGGCTAGTGTTTATAGTGCCTTGAGTGTTCTCTTAATAGTCCAAAAGCTTTGAACTTTGGATGAACCCGTTTTTTCAGAAAATACCTACTATACTATAACATCTCATGAAGCTAACCCGCTAACTAAAATTTCAAGTAATGAAAATATAATAAAATATACATAAAACATATTATAAATAAAATATCATACTGTTAAAAAATTAACTGTGACTTTGAAAACCATTCAACAAATCACTTAAAACCACAACAGTCTCTGTTTTTGTCAAAGATCCCCTCCGGGGAAAACACAAACACTCCTTCTTGTTCGACATCCAGAGGTAAAAATCATCATTTATTAATCATACTTACAGCTGTTGGTGAAAATAAGGACTCCGGTCTCACTGGAATAACATGTGGGATCATTTAAGAGGAATTGGGTTTGTATCACACCAATAGTGGAGTTTATGTTCAACGGACGAACAGAAAGTTGAAAACGAAGAATATTTACGTATAAGCTGTTCATATAGAAATTTAAAAAAATAATAAATTGTGAAATACCCATAAAAAATTTTTTTTTTAAATTCTGCTCTTCTTAAGTAGTTTTTTTTCTGCTGTCTCAACAAAAAATAAATATAATTGTATCTAAATGTATAATTTTTGTTCAATATTAGGAATCAGCGTGTACGGAACACTGGGTGAATAACTGAAACAATGGTATTTAATGAATGACTGCAAAATACAGGTTTTCTCCCTGTGTTAGAGTCAAGCAGTGTATAAACATGTAAAGACTGCTCAGTGTGAAGAACTATTGCTAAAAGGAACTATAATCACATAATATGGCTTCCCCGCGAACCGGCCGGTGTTCCCCAGCGAAAGAACCCAGACTGCAAGCCACTCGACTTCATTGGCATGCCGACTGTAAAAATAAAGGGATATCTAGCGCTAGTACCAAGTGGAACTATTTTCAGATTAAATCTTAGCCGCGGCCAGTCAACACTTTAGCTGAATGGCGTTTCCACTACGTACATTGGATCATATCGCCATTTTCACAGATTGGGCACTCAGGGATGAGTTATCAGGGGATACCATATGTATATTCCTCATGTATAACTTTGTGTTCTGTGTATATTTGTGTTATGTATCTGTGTGTCTGGGAGATAATTATTTATTTCAATTCTCTCCCAGACACAGAGGCGCCTGGGCGGGATTGTCTATACTTCTGCTGGAGACCCAAAGCTGGAGGTCTATCTATATAAGTCTGTGTTTTCTTCAATAAAACTGCATATTGTTTACCCTTCAATAAGTCCTGGCTGATGTTTGGAAATGGGCTATGATCACTCAAACTTTGCTGGATGTGGGAGAGATTCTCAGAGAAGGTATTCGGTCAGAGTAATTCCCCTGTTGGGAATTAAAATATTGGTGATATAGGGGAACATGTTGGTGCATTCTCTTAAAATACAAGCTATGGCAGAACCGTAGGTGTTCAGTGGTGCACCAGAGGCTAGTGAGGCAGCACAACAGTGACTTTCTGGTGGCACTTAGCGGTGGTGGCACTAGAGGTGTTGGTACAAGAGTTGGTAGTGTAACAAGGTCACGGTAGCACATACATGATGAGTTTCTCATTGGCCTTATTTGTAGTAAATGGGCTAGTGATGGAGTAGTGTAAAGTTTGAACCTTCATCAAATTATGCCCCAAAGTAAATAGCTTTCCCTACTTTAAAGCGTTGGCCAACATCCCAATGCTCAGTGAAGTGGTCACTCTAATACTTGTGTATTCAGTTCAAGCAGAACTCAGAAATGATAGAAAATGCTGCATGGATGAATCGCAAAACAGACAAAAAACACACAAAACGGTTCGTGATTCAGAGTTCCATTTGTGACTCCAAAAGAAGGGATGATTGACGGCTAGGGCAGAGTCATGGATATTGTGAACAAAACAGAGGAACTGTAAATCTTTATTTATATATTTTCATATTATTATAGATTTCATAAATATGTAATATATAAATATAGATGATTTACTGATCCTGCTTGGGTCTCTTTATCTGTTATCTGTTACTTCTTTTCACTTGATCTGTGAACGAAATGATGCAAAAATCAAAGTATTTCCATTTTTTTCACCTTTTAAGTTTGTCTAGTAGGTTATTCCCAAAATTATGGAATGGACAAATTTAATGAAAATGGAAACGCGACATGGACACAAGCCGAATTGCCAGAAACATTTTTTTTCAGACATCGATTTGGACAAACGAAATTACATTTTCCGTGCACAAGCATAGACACTACTGCATTTGAAAGAAATGACTGTAAAGCAATAAAAATCTCTGTGAATTTAACAAGAGCCGAGGAAATACACACAGCAAAAGAAAAAAGCATAGTTAATATCAAACCTGCCGACAAAAACTCAATAAAAAATCAATAAAGTGATTACGCATATTGACAGTTACGTGACTATTGCTAAGAGAATCTGTGACGATGACTCAACATTCAGGATTCTGGAAGCAAACATATGTTTCACTTCTAAATATACTCTTCTAATAGAAGCTACGTCTTTAGCTTCACAACCATGTTTGTGTTATTTTCTTTTCTGTTAATAAGAGCCTCCTGCTCATATGTAGTGATTAGCTGTGAATTGACACAATGTGAAATGATAACGAAGTTATGAATATGCAGATCTTGCTATTGTTTGTTCATGAAATATACGGATGGTGTACCTTATTACTCAATGTTTCATACACCAGATTCAGGATAACTTTAACACAGTTATTTACTTACTCCAAATAGCCCTTTACCGAATTGGCAAAATCCTCCGGTGCTCTACGGGACCACTGAGACTGCCAAATCCAGACACTGTTCTCGCTATTTGATGATATCTGGATTTTGCATTGGATGCTCCGTATAATCCTGAATTTGATCCAAAATTTTGCTGGGTCAAATGGATGCTTCAAATACGAGCCCAGATTTTAAATATCCAAAATATATGCCTGCTGGCAGTGTTAGCAGCTGGTGTTAGGAGTGCAAGTTAGAAAACTGTCTGCAGTGCAAAGGTTAACAATGTGCTAGTTAACAAAAAATTAAAAAAAAGCCTATGGGGTGAGTGTGTGTGTGTGTGGGGGGGTCTATATTTTTTTTACCTTGCCTCATAGTGGGGGCATATCTACTAAACATTTAAACATTATCTACTAAACATTAAAGGCCCCCTTCCATAGGCATTAAGTGAGGGGCAGATCACTTACTAAACAAGGGGCGTTTGGTATCATACAGTAGACCTTCTGGTCCAATAATGAGGACCCCTAATGGAGCGGGAACCTAATGTCCCCACACCAGAGCGGGAACCTAATGTCCCCAAACAGGGTGGGGCTATTACTATAATACTATAATTACTATAATTCCCCCAGTTCTCACCCATAGGCGGTAGGATGGCAGCTCTAATGAAGTATACTTAAGGGGTGGACATTCCATTGTAGACCCTGCAAAGTTGTGCCATTTTGCAACCCCAACCACTGGGTGGCTAAGGATCCTCATACCATTAGCCACCAGTCATTAAAATAAAATAACCCTACTGTGATGAAAGCAATTTTGCCACCTGTTTTTGGAGGGGCCTGCTGGCTAGTCTCCTGCCCAAAGACTATGGGCCCTGCAAAAAGACATGTTAGAAAGTGACTTCCATGAAAAAAACAAACCACTGAACCGATCTAGGTGATTTTTGGATATGTTGGTCACCCAGATCAGAGCTATCTGAGGATGTCACATTTTTGGGGGTATGTTATGCTTTGGGGTACTTTCTGAACTTTGTGAAAAATTTGTTTTTTCTGCCTGGAGATAATTGAGTTACTTACAGAACTTTACTCAATTATCTCCCAAGCAGAGGGGAGGGATTGTGTGCTGTACATGGGCGTATCACAGACTGTATGTTTGTTCTGATTGGTTTGCCCTTTTTGTTCCTGTGCCCCATCAGGTCCAGGGGGTGTTCCTCTGGCCTGGAGAATTGTATAAAAGCCAACCTGTACCATTAAACCTTCAGACCTTCTTACCCTCAACTCGCAGCCTTGTCTCATGTTGTAGGGAACTGCTATAATCACACTGGGGATTGCTATACTCTGTATACTCCCCTGGGTTCTAATCACTAGCTCTTCTAAGAGCTGTTCCTGTTACGCTCTCCTGGAGGAGAGGTCTGACCCAGAGCTACCTCACACAGGCTCTTGATGCCCTCTCCCAAAAGCTGATTACATCCTGGCAACACTCTATGGACTCCCTGCGCAAGGCCGCCACACAGCACATGTGGAATCCAAAATGGCCGAATTTACATCAGCACACAATGATCTGGCAGACCATGCGGAAAGCCTGGAAGACAAATGGGCACACATGGAAATGAAAGTGGCTGACCTGGAAGATAGGGTGCGGCGCCACAATCTCTGATTGAGGGGGGTGCCGGAATCTGTAACACCAGCAGATCTAGCAGCCACATGCCCCGGGGGGCCTGGTGGCAGGCAGCATCTTACCCTTTACCCATATAACACTCCGGCAACAACAAAGTTGGTTAAAAATAAAAAAAAATATTCACATGGATATATACAACTGAAACCATGCAGGAACGCACATACTACATTTCCCTACAATATATAATACTTCACTATATACTACTTAAGAACTCCCCCCCCCCCTATAAACTCCCCCTCCTATCCTCCCCGGTTAACCCTGTTCCGTTATCCAAGGTTAGTACCTGGGCTTTACTTGGACAACAGATGAAATTGTACTGATATGTCAAGATGTGTCCACCATGTTGTGCCAGATGATGTAACAATGTACTGCAATACTATTGCATGCCATCTAAGTATGTCAACAACCTACATTGTACTTGGTTTTCTCAATGATGCTTTATTATCCTGTACAGTTTACTGCTTGTGTATTGAGCATCTGAAAAATTGTCAATACATTTAAAAAAAAAAAGTTATTCAAGGTGGGAAAAGCCAAAAAAACATAAAAAAACATGCATTTAACAGACAAAAAAAATTAAATATGAAATCTATACTGATAAAAAAATATTTAATACAGTTTAATCTGAGCTGAAGGTTAATAGGGATTATGATCTGTTTATTTAATTAATAAAAAAAATATATATCAAATTGCCTTGCCCAGACTCTGATCAATAGGAGGCAAGAGATAAGAAACTTTTGTACCGCGACACAATATGGAACTTTAAAAGAAACGGAAAATCCACAGATGTTCTGGACAATATTTATTGGTTTATAAGGTGTTTAATCAAGAAGCAACACTGCGACACTGAATACAATATTGTAGCGACATGCCACACATACACACACTGAGCTATATATAGGTTTGGCTTATGACCAAGGAACAGAATCCTTTCGGAAGGTTTGTGGAAGATTTAATGTTTCGGGTAACTTTGCCCACATTTGTTAGACCTTTTATTATATTTAGCCAATGTTATACATTTATTGCTAATAGCAAAAAAACTGAGAATAGGAAAACTTTGAGAATGGACTAAAGCTCAGAGAAACGCAATAGTTTGCCATTCGGTTAGTCCCGGCTCAGGTCTCAAAAACGTTTTGCTCCCTTGTGCCATTACAGAGAGAACCTATACCATTTTCATATGAGACTGATCCCACACAAGGTAGGTCCAATCTTAAAAGCTGGCATGTACTCCCTGCATGAGAGATACATCAACCACGGACAATTGTTTCAGACATCTTTAGGCCTCGTCATCGCGGTGTAACTGATACCCCTTTTGGCATAGTGAGCATAAAATCCACATCCGTATTACCTTTAACTTAGGGAGAGCCTCAGCAAATGCATTAAAACAAAATCTGAGATTGGTTAACCGGATATCTGGTCCGCAGTCTTGAACCATTTGTCTGCATTGCTTTTTATGTATTTAATGCGTGGTATTGTTATGTCTGGCTTTTGCTCATCCTTACATGATATTTGATATTATTATTTGTTGGTCCAAGCCCAACAATTTGGGTTTTGGAAAAAGTTAACGTGGAAAAAATAAAAAAAAATATAGGTGTAGACCAGGGGTAGGCAACCTTTTAGCAGCACTGTACCGAAATATGATTATGATGTCCTGTAGCGTGTCGGTCCTATTTCTTTAAATTGAGGTGTGTATGCTGCAGTATTCTGCTTGTGTTATTTTTACTGCATTTGCTTTGTATCGTTGTATTTGTGCTTATATGAGCTATTATATTGTATCATTAATAAATATATCATGTTCATTAATAGTTTGTGGTATCATGTATAATACGTATGAATTTGGGCTGTGTATGGGGGCTGCTTGTGGTATTGTGTGTGGATGGATATGTCACATTGTGTATTTGTTAATGTGTGTATGTTTGGGGCTGTTTGGGGTATTGCATGTGAGAGGCTGCATGTGGGGTTGTGTGCATGTATGTGGATTGTTGGTGGTGTTGTGTTTGTGTGGACTGTGTGTGTGTTTGTATTATTTGTATGAGGGGAGGGTTATTCTGTAGCTCTGAGGCTTCCCTGGGTTTTCGTGGGGACCAGAAGCTGCAACAGGAAGCTGTGGGCTGCTCTACTCCAGTGTGGATTCCCATTCACAAGTGCTGGGAGGAAGTGATCTGAGATCACTTTCTCTAGGTGCTGCAATGCATAAATGGAGGATTGTCCTTCACCACCTTTTCATATTAGCAGATTTCTGACGTTTCACTGGGACTCCTGACAGGCCAGAGCCTGTTTGGCTCTTGTAGCCTTGAGTGCCGTGCAAAGGCACCGCGAGTGCCGTGCATGGCACTAGTGCCGTAGGTTGCCTACCCCTGGTGTAGACAAAGGAGTAACTTTGAATCAATAGAAGAAGCTGTCTACCTAATTAAAATATACCATCTGCCCACCTCCTTTTAAAGACCATTCCTTAAAGTATGAGGGCTGCGAACAAAGACAGTTTCAAATTTCATGCACATAGCTCAAACAGCAATTCAGTCTACTGGATTACAAATATTCATTTATTTATTTATAAAATATTTTACCAGGCAGGATACATTGAGATTTCTCTTGTTTTCAAGTATGTCCTGGATCCACAAAACATTGCATTGATACAATAGGGTACAATAAAATACAAAAACAATATTAATACACAATATATACAAAATGTAACATAGAACAGATAGGAAATGTGACGGAACGCTGGCACTCCGACTGAGTACCTCCGCCAATCGATGCTCCTAGTGCTCGCTGAGGACTCCAAGCACTCCAACCGACACCATCAGCACTGCAGACCCCACTTCCAGCGATGCAACTGCGCCGGGGTCTCTGCTGTCTCCACCCACCCTGGACCCAAGGCCAGGATCCAGCTTCCAGTGGGTGAACCTCTCTTTCCCCAGAGAGCAGGAACAGGAACAAATCAAGCTATTGCAAGAGCTTCCTCTGGGGAGTAAGTGATTATAGCAATCCCCAGAGTGTAGGTATCCCTTCCCCCAAACATGAGCCAAGGCTTAATGCTGGAACAAGACTGATTTACTGGCACACAGAACTCACAATTTATGCAACACAAAACTCCTCCTCTGGGCCAGGCTAGATAATTGAGTTTCTACAATACACAAAGCTCAATTATCTGCTGGCCAGAAACATTACAATTTTTACAGCATTCATAACTTCTAAAATATACATCACAGGGACCCCAAAACATGCAATAACCCCATAAAAAGTATATCCTTGGAACCGGGGGATCTGGGTGAACCACATATCCAAAATTCACCCAGATCCGTTCAGTACTTTGGAAAATACAGTTTAATGCAGATTCTGCAGAACATATACAGGCTAAATGAAAAACAATCACTGTATAATGTGTCCCCTGCTGTATAGTCCAAAACCACTGCACGATGTCTCTGTGCACCAAATACTGGCAAGATGGCACCGTGTTGAAAAGTCCAAACAGTGTCTGTGAGTTAAAATGGCCGCCATCCATTGTTCTCACCATGTGCTTCTGATACAGGAAATGGTGGCCACCCAGTAACTCCACAGTATGTCCCCAGATGGT